ACCAAAGGTCGGAATCAACCTATATTCACAAGATATGAATAAAATTGTATAAACACCACTCTCATAAACTCTACTTATAAGATTATACTGAGTATGTATTGTTGTTATAGTTTAGTAAATCTAAATTTTTGGTAATGATACTTTTAGGGAAAAGGGTTTGAAAAATACTCTAACTTTGGCCGAAATTGCTGTTACGATATCAAACTTTATGGAGGACCTTTTACCCCCTGCACTATTTAATAGTGTATTTTAAAGGTATATATATGTGCCCACGTGGACATCATAAATATTGCATCATTATAAATAGTAATGTGTCCACGTGGGCACATACATACCTTTAAAATACACTATTAAATAGTGCAGGGGGTAAAAGGTCCTCCATAAAGTTTGATATCGTAACAGCAATTTCGGCCAAAGTTAGAGTATTTTTCAAACCCTTTTCCCTAAAAGTATCATTACCAAAAATTTAGATTTACTAAACTATAACAACAATACATACTCAGTATAATCTTATAAGTAGAGTTTATGAGAGTGGTGTTTATACAATTTTATTCATATCTTGTGAATATAGGTTGATTCCGACCTTTGGTCCGAGTAAGTAAAGTAAGAATCAAATATGTAAAGCAAATACAATAGTGAATAAATCATGCTAAAAATGATTTGAAAAGGGAATAAGTAGCAACAACAAATAACATGATAATTTAAGGAAAACAAGCAACAGGTGCTACTGAAATCAAAGAAAAAGATAGTAAGAGAGTAATAATAACAATATTGATAAGGAACTAGACAATGTTCGACTACCTAATAACCTTCCACTCTAGTTCTCGACTTTCATACCTTCTTATCTAGAGTCATGTGCTTGTTAAGTTGAGGATGATCCATGTCCTATCTAATCGTATCTCCTCAAAACTTTTTCGGCATATACCTCTACCTCTGTTTATACCCATATAGCAAACCTCTCGTACATCATCTTCTGTATTCATGCATGAATCATCTCGGTCTTGTCTTCCTCATCTTGTCTACAATGAAGGTCATTTCTACCTTGTCCCAAATAGTTTCATTTCTGATCCTATCTCTCCTAGTATGCCCACACATTCATTTCAATCTCCTTATTTATGCTACTCTCATCTTTTGGACATATAATTTCTTGGCTGATCAATAGTACTCTACCTCGTACAACATAGTTGATTTGATCATTGCTCTATAAAACACACCTAAAGGCTTGATCGATCATTCTTTATCACACAAGACACCTTATGTGAGCATCCATTTCATCCAACCTGCTCAAATATGATATGTAACATCATCATATATCTGCCCATTTTTTTGGGATTACCAACCCTATATAGTTGAAACTTTCTTTCTTGGGGATGACTTGTATATCAATCCTTACTTCCACATCATACATATGGTTTACATCACTTAACTTGCACTCCAATATTTTTTCTTAGTCAGGCTCAACTTGAACCATTTGGACTCTTAGAGCCTAACAACATACCTCTAGTCTATCATTAATTTCGATTAATATCTCGTCAATCAAAACTATGTCATTTGCAAACAGGGGCGGCTCAATACTATTGGTTGCCTAAAGTCAAATTTCAAAATGAGGCCTTAATATGAAATCGATTTTTCTAAATTTTATAATGCAAAGTGATGAATAATTTGTAATGACCATTCTGATCGTTTTCTATGTATTGCGATATTTTCGGCATTTAGAGCTTTCCTGTTGAGACTCGAAGTCATTTATGACTTGTTGAAACTAACAATTTGGTCTCCTGGTCGTTCATTTGATTTTTGCGTGAGTTTTCATGTATTGGAGCTTTCGAAGCTTAAACGGTTGACTTCGGTCAAAACTTCAGGGAAATGACCTCATCATGCAATTTTGATAGTTTCGTTAGCTTCTGAAGGTTGAGTTTAGTCTAAAAGGACCCTTGGTTTGGGTCCTGAGACTTTTAGACTCATTTCGAGCTACCTTCTGGGGTTTGAAAAAAATGGAGCCTTGGGTGTGTGACTCACTTTTTGTCGGGACGACCTCCGTTGGAAGTTTTGACATCTCCTTTGAGTTTGAAATGTTGAATTCGATTGGGTAGCACTGTTTGTTTGTGTGCATGGGTTCTGAACGAATCTTGATCCCCCGTCCTGACCTGGTGCAACCTTTGTTGGTGCACCGTACTCTTGTGCTCACGTTCACGGGCCTTGAGCCGCGTTCGTGAAGGTTCATTAAATGAACCATCGCGCTTGTGGGCTCAGCTCCGCATTCGCGGAGAGATGGGATTCCGACCCACGTGATCACAAAAAGACTCTGTTCACGGAGAAGGATCAGCGTTGACCTGGTCCAATTGACTACCACATTCGTGGCCCTGAGGCTCAAATTTGCGGAGGTCCTTTAACTGATGTTATATTGTGATATGTCCCAAATTTCTGCTCACAATTCCAATTTCTAAGTTCGATTTCTTGAGCTATTGAGCTTCGTTTCAGCTCAAGTTTGGTGTCAATCGTTGCGAATTGTTGGAGCGTTGCATAGGGGTCGTAGGGTTTGAGTTGGGGACTCATTTTTGAGGTAATTTTCCTCCCGAAGGACTCTCTTTCCCTCTTTAATGGTGGTTTTGATGCTCTTATTTTGTGTGGACCGTTTTGGGTGTGAATTGGATCGAATTGTGCCCAACTTTTGGGGACAAGGTCCTTGAGCTTGTTGGGACTGGTTGACACGTGGGGCCCACTGACCCATTTTTTTACCTGATTTTGGATCCACAATTTTATGTAATATGTGTATTGTTTAGACCGTATTAATGCCATGATCATTTATTTGATTGCGTAGCAACGATCGGAGGTGGTATGGAAGGGTCTATCTTATTTTCATTATTGTATCATGCCTTGTTATAGTTATATACCCTTGTGTATTGTTGATTATGACTTATTTTTTACCTTAGCCTAGGCGTAGGCTAGTGATTTGCCTTAAAATTGCCTAAATTGAAGCAACTTAGTAGGAAAAGACAATCAGTAGGCATTTCCCCATCCAAAAATATCATGTACTTGTGATGCACTCTTTATATACTACTTTTTTAATGAGCATAAAACAAAAATTATAAAATTTATAATATTCACAACTTTTCAAAGAATATTTCTCCAATAAATTGTCAATATAGGCCCTTCACATTAGCAATAACTAGATTGGGACTTGTATCTTGTTTCTCTGCTTATGATTTAAAGTCTCGAAGTATCAACCAACTTGCTAGAATATGGAATATCCCCTTCAGTATTGCAAGGACTGTTGTCTCACTTTTTACAACCTTGAATTCCAATCCCACATAGACTACATGACTAAGATATTAGATATGTAGAGGGTGGATATTTACTGCCAATATTGCTAGGACTCCCAAAAATCTTATTGGATTCTTAAAAAATATAACTCTTTTGAAAAAATCCAACATACATCGATGATATTTTTATAGAGAATTTTAATAATTAATTAGTGTAAAATATAGTTAACAAAAGCAAAGTTAATTAATAAAGAAAAACAAAAAGGATATAACAATTATAATTTATGACATGGTGTTGATGTAGCGCTAGTGTGACAACAAGTGTAATACGCCACATATTGTGAGAGTGGTGTTACACGTCTCAGAGTTGTATTAAATTCATTTAAGTAGTAAAGGTGTGTAATAACTCGTCATGATAGTGTAAGCGTGCAATTGACTTTTTGAAACAAGTTCAAGAGGAAATTTATGTCTTTTCCCATTTACTAAATTACAAAAACAACAATACATACTCACTATAATCTTATAAATGGAGTTTGAGAGGGTGATGTTTACACAATTTTATCCGTATCTTGTGAAAATAGAAAGGGTGTTTCCGATATACCCTCAACCCGAGTAAATATATTAAAAATCAAGTATGTAAAGCAAACACAATAGTGAAAAAGTCATGCTGAAAATAATCTAAAAAGAGAACAAGTAGCAAGAATAAATAACATGATAATTGAAGCAAAGAAACAACGGGTACTACTAAAACCAAAGAAAAAAAAATAGTAAGTGAGCTATAATAACAATATTAATAAGGAACTAGACAACGTTCGACTACCTAATAACCTTCTACTCTAGTTCTCGACCTTCATACCTTCTTATGTAGAGTCATGGCCTTACTGTAATTTGTAGGTGATCCATATCTTATCTAATCACATCTCCCAAAAATAAACGCATACATCTACCTCTCTTTATACTCACTATAGCAAACCTCTCTGACCTCATCTTCGGTACATATGCATGAATCATCACAGTCTTGTTTTCCTCATCTTGTCTACAACGGAGATCACTCATGTCTTGTCCCAAATAGTTTAATTCCTGATCCTATATCTCCTAATATGCTCACACACTCATTCATTTCAATCTCTTTATTTATGCTACTCTCATCTTTAATCTTAACATGCGAATTCTTGACTGACCAATACTCTACCTCATTCAACATAATTGATCTGACCATTACTCCATAAAACACACTTTAAGGCTTGAGAGTTCATTCTTATCACAAGCTTCCATTTCATCAACTAGATAATTTTCTTCAGATCAATCTGATCAGCTTTATACAAGTATTTGATGGCCGCCGCTAGATTTGCTTAGTATGATTTCCAACCAAATCAACAACATTGTAAAATCAAATTGCTGTAAACACCAATCTAGAATATGTTGGCTTTGTTCGATCAATAATTGCTTAAATTAACCACTTGAAACTATTAAACCACGTATGTCCAAAAATATTTGGGTGAAAATTCTGCATTAGGAGACTCAATAATCAAAAAGGCTTTTAGCTCTTATTTTTCATTATAAGAAGTTATTTACAGAAAAGTAGTAACATTTCCATATCAATTGCCTTGTAACTTAGTTTGATTTGTATTAGATCTAGCAAAACTAAAGCCAAACTTCAATTGATTCAATCCAAATAAATAAATAATTGTCCATTTTATAAAAAAAAATAAAAAAAAATAATTGTCCAACAACAGCAATGGCAAAACTTATTCTAGCCCAATACTATTTACTTCAATTATTAATTATGCCCCAATATCATTTCATTCAACTATCAATAGCTGAAAAGCAACTCTGCGATCGTAGCAAACCTCCTCTACTCACCGGATTTGATCGCGGCGAATCCAAGCTCCTCAGCAGCAACTGCTTCACTGCTGATATCAATTCCCCCGTCGGATTCGGGGGCAGACTTTTTGCTCTGAACTTTCTGCAAAATGTCATGTGTCGATTGAAAGCTTCATCTCTTCCAATCCTTCTCTCCGATGACGATCTCACAATTTCATCCTTCACCGCCTCCGCACACAGTCCGCATATCCATCGCCCTTCATTCCTTTCCCGAATTCTCGCTATGTACGCCTCTGTACATTCCTCTGTCAATCCACAACACTCACACTTTACAAATTGGACTTCGTTTTTCATCTGAGTTTCCACCTCTTTCTTCATCATTGTTGCCTCAAATTTCTGAAACATATATATACATACACAACCGTTTCAGAAATTCAAATACATGAATAATTTCATCATTAGAATCAAAGAAAAATAAGGGAGAGAATTAATTTTACCGTAAACTGGAATCGCGGTATATAGATGAATCTTCTAAAAAATTGAAATATTATGCTACTTCGATTCTTCTTTATCTTTCTTTTTCCCACTCGCCTTCTTCTCCACCGATGATCAATCGCTTGAATATCATATACATTTCACAGCCTTGACTGGCTTTTCTAAATTGATTTTGTTTTACAGAACTATATGTATATATATATATATATATACACACACAAACGAAGATAGTTTTTTAACTGATCATATAGTAGTAATGATTGTTTGGCAATTGTTGTAAAAGTTGTCAATGTCAGAGTATTGGCGGGGGCCCACCCCTGCCTCAAATGGTAGATATCGTGTGCACTACGGACCACAAAAATGGGTGAGCCTTTCTTTGCCTTTGCTTATCAGATGTCAGCAGAGTTCAAAATCAATTGAAACTCTTCAAGTTCCGACAAAATGCATAAAGATAAAAGTACAAAATCAAAAAGATTTCAATGTAAAGTTGATTTCTTATCATCCTTTAATTTGTTATGATCCTATAATATCCAAAATTTAATAGAAATCTTAAATTTTTAATGCAAAGTTATTATTTTAAAATCGACAATTGTCTTCGAACTGATAATTTATTTAATTTTTCTTGTCACATAATTATCATGAACATCAAACTTTTTTTTATAATTCTTTATTTTAGGAAAAATTATAGAATTAGTCAAAATTAGCACGTTATTTATGAAAAATAGTTATAGTTTAAATATATTATAAAAAATAACATAAGCAAACATTTTCTTCTCTCCTTTCTCTCACCCTCTTTCTCTGTTTTTTCTCTCTTACACCAATGAGCAGAAATTCAACTCAAATGTATTATGTATCAATTGTATTCAATCAAATATAGATGAAAGTTTTGTATTTTTATTTCAATTGTATTCGAAAAATTATATTTTGTATTTTTGTATCAATTGTATTTGTATTCGTACGAATACAATATTCATTCATCCTCTCTGTCAAATGTATTTGTATTCAATCAAAGAGAGGAGGAATACAGTTGTATTCGTTGTATTCTGAATACAATTGATATAAAATAAATAAAGAATACAATGCAAAATAAATAGAAAATACAATTCGTTGTATTCTGAATTAATTGATAAAAAAATAAATACAGAATATAATGTAAAATAAATACAGAATACAATGCAATATTAAATACAAAATACAATCCACTCTCATCTCTCTCTCGATCTTGCTCACCTCTCTCCTCCCTCTCTCGCCTCTTAATATGTATTCATTTTGATACAAATCAGTTTATATTTATATTTTTTTTCTCCAAAACTCGCAAAAAAATACACTCTCGCCTCTCTCCTTCTTCCTCCCCTAACATTTTGCTCTTATTCGTAATTAAGCAAATTATAACTATAGAGTGCCTACTATTAAAAGTTCACCTTTTTCAAGTAGTAATTAATATTTTAAAAAAATTATAAATTATTATTGCTAAAAAAATTAGACCACTGAAATTGCTTTTTTTTTTTTTTTATAAATAAAACCTTGTAGAACCTACACTGCGTGGAACTATGGATACATTGGAAACCTAAAGTATATGCTCACAAAATTATGGAAGTCTTATCGTTATGATCCCAAATGTTACCTTACATGAGTGTCAAAACTTATCCGATAAAGAATTTCACTATTTTAGAATTGTTATAATTACGTTTGGTTATTAGAATTTTAGCTTGTGAAGTTATGTACTATCAAAATAAATTGTGTCTAATATTTTATCCCGTATATGATTCGATGAAAGATATGGGAGATAAAGAGTTTTAATCAATTTAAGAATAAAACTTGAAAAATATTTTATACATGTAGTATCCTTAATTAGTCAAATCAGTTTTTGTTTTTCAAAATCTCACAAAACCAAATACAAATTTTTCACAACTGAATTAACTTCAAGTTACTTAACCCACTTGACTTAATATTGTAACTAAGAATTTAGAAATTAGAATATTATGTAGCTTGTTGAAAACGGCTCTGCTCCAGTAATTATCAATGGTTACTTGGATGATCAACACGTTTCATTATAAATTTCTAAGGGTAAGATTGTTTTATAATTTAGTCTTAATAATGGTAATCGATAAAAACTAATTTAATTGAATTCTTTAGGACCAAGTTCTTCATTTTCTATTAATGTAACCTTAATCATTCAACTCATTAAAATGCGGTGTGTTTGAATTTTGATTGCTTTTACTCGAGAAAGAGGACCACTCTCTAAGTCTAAGTATACCGATGTCAGGCAAACCCCTGTGGCTTTTAAAACCCTTTATCCCAGCTCTCGTTCTAAAATAGTTGTCTCCTCTTAAAAATTCCCTAGGGCTATTCCTAAGATAAAAACAACGATAATGGTGAGGCAAGGCACTCTCAAGGAACACATCTCCAATTTCTTACTTGTAAATTCGTCATCAATAATCTCGCTAGAATTGAACAAAGACACATGGATACATGCGTTCGGAAGTAGCATCGAGATAGGTTATGATTTATGAGTAGTAGACTATGATTAGAAAATGTGTTCATAACATATATTTGATTGAAGAATCATGATTAGTCTTGCAGGCATAGACATTATGAATGCATAATAGACATGAAATTCACATAAAGAGAATTATGGGTACGTTGATGTTATGAAGCCTTGATGGGTGTATTGTGTGTATTACCTCTATGTCAATTTGTAATGTGAATTATGTTGTAGTGGTTAACGATAAAGAGAATTGCATGACTTTATAATTAACAATTCGGTTTAATCACGTTAAAAAGAGAGAAATTAATGTAGGGCTTTTCATGAAGGTGTGAGTTTAGTGTTGTGGCATTCTATTCATGAGAATTAACTCTAGTAATACTAGCCCGATTGTGAGGGTACGTTCCTTTATATGGTTAAATCGCGGATCATGAATATGAAAGGTTGGTGATTGGATCTTTAGTTGATAATTGGGGCTTAGGCTTGATTTGATTTCATGTATACTCTTAAGTTGAATACTTGTTGATTGGCCTTTGGACATACCTATGATTGTTGATGTTTAGAATGCATAAACTATTGAATGATGAATCAAATTAAATTACTTTGCATTGCAAGTATATATACCTATAATTGTTGTAGTCCGAGTTATATCTAGAGTGTTGGTGAAACTGATCATTATTATGATGTGTGAAAGATTATAACCTTCACGTTGATGAGGTGCTCAAGTCCGAGGTGAGGTCTTTGGATGAGAAATTACACATATTTGAATTGAATTATTTGTGTTGTAATATACTTATAATTGCTATACTCTAGGTTATATCCTGAGACATGATGAACTAATCACTATTATAATATGTGAGAGAGGTAAGAAATAATTATACCTTCTTATTGATGGGTGACTCAAGTGTGAGATGAGATTTCGAACGAGAGATTACATTTACTCGGAGGGTGGGGTACTCCTAAAATTACATCCTTCAGAAGTATAAAATAGACTAGGGTTACTCCTAAAATTCTCCTAAGCTTGGAGATAGCAGAGAGAAGGTAATTCTGCACAAGGAAGGCCAAAACTCATGAAATTTTGGTCTACGTCTGTCGGGATTTGCCTCTATGAAACCTAAAGATCGTGTTTAGAATTCTTCAGCAGTTACTAATTAGCATTCAAATAGAATAGTCTTAGTTGAGTAGTTAGACCTATCGTTACTTACATAATATCTTGTTGATTATCTGCAGATTTCATGCATAGTCCTTCGGGCACGAAGTCTGAATAGTTTAATGTGTGATTAGTTGTGGTTTAGATTGATAAAATGTTGATCTTGTGATTATTGTTAGGTGTTATTTTAGAGAAGGTGATTGTGGGTAATCGAAGTATGAGTAGGGAACGTTCAGGAAAGAATCCTTTTGAGTAGGTAATGGTTGTTTGATTCCTATTATGTTACATTGTTATCAATCACATGCAATGATAGTGTTTTCTTAATGTACAAGTGTGATTTGTATTCATTATGATTGTGATGTGTGATTGTTGGTTGTCTTGAGTACCACACTTGGTATATGATATTTCCCAGTTGGCTTGAGTACCACGTCTGGTACATACTAACGGTTGGCTCAGGTACCACTTATGGTACAATGATATCTATATATGATTGACTTAGATACCACATTGATACATACTAGCTATTAACTCGGGTACCACGTCTGATACATCAACTGTATGCGTGTGAATTCCATGAGTGAACTTGATTTAGTTTTTCGTAATGAGACTATTACATATTGGTTCATAAATGGCCAGATTGATATATTTAAAGGCTGGGGGTGGTTCTTCTGTTGTCCAGGATTGCATGTGATATACTATGGCTGATGTTTTGGGGGTTCTTGGGTGGTCTGAGTTACCTAAGGTAGTATTTAATCATGTGTGGATTGAGTTGAGGAAAATAAGTAAGAGTGTTGCTCGTCAATATAGTTAGTGGTGGATTTGAGATTAGGAATGGATTCAGTGAGAAAGACTCTGGTGTTGACAGAATTGGTGATTTCGAAAAGTCATTATATGATAACATGGTTAAATGATGATCCATTTGGAAGGTGAATGACTCTTAGTGGGGAGTTGGTAGCGAAATAAGGTGGGGTTGATTTGGAAGGAAATGTTTGAATCCAAAGGTGGTAGTATTCAGTCATAGGGGTAGTAATTGAAGGATCGGGGTCCTAAATTATATCGTTAAGTTGCATGTTTCTTGATTCACTCTTTTGTAGTAGACGATGTCAAACATGGTGTGCCCGGTTAACTAAGAAGGCGGCGGGCACAGTAGTTACATGTACCCATTTCTTTCAGTTTTTTGTCAGCGCTTTTTCACCCAGTGTTCTTAAGATCATAGAAGCAATGTGGTAGAAAAAGAAGATTTGTTGCAATGTAGCTCCATAAGAACCATAAATAAAAACACATGAAATATTAACAGAAAAATCGATAACCATATTTTGTTGACTTAGAATGTGTTTGGCCTTACTGCTAAATATGACATACTTTTAGAAGCACTTTTTTTTAAATGCCTTTTCAGAAAAGTGTTTTTGAAATAAAAGCAATTTGTGTTTGACTAATTCATTTGAAAGTGCTTTTGAGAGTCAAATTACAAAAAAGAACAACTATTCATTTGTTTTATACAGAAAAACTATTTTAAATATATATTATAAAAAAGTTAATTAAACTTTTATTTTTATTAGATTAAAATGTACATAT